CGAGTTAGGCGTTGACTCGACGAGTTCTCCTTCCAAACTGATGTTCAAGTCCTTCATCCTACTCGCCGAGTTGTATGAACAACTCGCCGAGTTCATCTTCATCCGATGAACAAGTTATACTGGGACTCGCCGAGTTGTATGAACAACTCGCCGAGTCTGATCTTGATCTAAGGAGATCGCCTTGAACTCGCCGAGTCTGGGCATCGACTCGTCGAGTTCCATTATAGGTGAGTTTTGGCTTCCAACTCACCGAGTCCACCTTGGACTCACTACACAACTCGACACAACAAAGAGGGGACAATCTCGGAGACTCGCGACTAAACTCGCCGAGTCAGATGAGCGACTCGCTGAGTCTGCTCCATGCAAGAGCCATATACGCGATTTTGCTCGAATCTAGTCCATTCCATTCATAGATCTGGGTTCCTAGAGCATGAATAACACGTAAAGTTTCCAACTTTACGTGTAGATATTCATCCATGAGGGTTTTAGGGTTCAAAATGCACCAAAAGAGTAGATCTAAGGTCTTCATGCATAATGGGTCCATAAAGGTAGTAGATATGAGCTCCTGGAGCTCAACAAAGCCTAGATCTAGAGGCCAATCAACTTATTACGAAATATGATGCACATACAAGCTTGGGGAAGGGCTCAAGGAAGACTTTAATGGAGTTATAAGCATATAGACAGGGGAAAACGAGTTTTACCTCAAGGAAATCACTGAGAGGACACTAAAATGCTTGGCTTCCTTCCCTTCCTCTTGATCTACTCCACTTCCTTCTCAAAATCTTCAAGAACACACACTAAAATGCCTCAAACTCACAAGAACAAGATCTAGAACGTTTGGAGAGCTTCTGATGGGGTGAATGGGGTGGAGTTGGGGCTCAAATGGGTGTTTAAATAGGGTGCAAACCCTTGGAAATTAGGGTTTCATCAAACAACGCAGACTCGCCGAGTCCCTAATATGGACTCGTCGAGTCGCCATCTTATCCTCGCCCCAAAGTCTCGTCTCTACTCGGCGAGTCGGGCCTCCAACTCGCCGAGTCCACGGCCAAAAACACAAATACTAAGGCAAAGCTCACGTACCAGGAACCAGGTGCTACACTATGGAGTTAGCGCCTATTGTATAAACCTTGGTGACTATGGAGTTAGCGCCTGTTAAGTGAACCTTGATGACTATGGAGTTAGCGCCTGATAACTATGGATTTAGTACCTGAGAAATAAACGTTGGTACCTATGGATTTAGTACCTGATAGATAAACTTTGGCAGTAATGGACTTCGTGCCGATTCCTTAGGTCAATCCTTAGGAATGAATGAATAAATGATAGTTGGTTCTTAGGGTAAAACCTTAAGAGTAAAGAAGATAATGAGGATGGGTAATTGGGTTGATTGTTTGATAATTGAATATAATAATTATATTATTGTGGGTTGAAACGCTATATGCTCACCAAGCTCCCAAGCCTGACCCACTCAGTTTTCTTTGTATCACAAGTATTAATACAAAGACATATTTCACTGACAGATTAAAGGAGATGTAAATCATCAGTGTAAATAAATGTAAGTTTTGTTTATGCTTATGTATCTGTATCGGAACATGACTTCCCAATATTTTGTTATATAATGAAAATACATTTCTTTAAGAAATGCTTTGATAAATTCTTATCATATTTTGTTTTGGGAACAAATTCCGCAACTGTTTTCTTTGAAAGAGTACTCTGATTTTTAAAACAAAGCATAAACAAATCGGTCTTTTCTGACCATGAAATTGGAGATGTCACAAATTTCTTCTTACGGATTCTTGAGGCGAGGAGGAGTTGATTGTTGGGGAGAATCCTGAGGAGTTAGATACCGAGGAGAAGCCTGGGGAGTTGGGTCTTTGAGGTGTACTGAGGAAGGTGGATCCTGAGGAGGAATGATGGAATGGTTATTTGATTGAGTTTTTGACTAATACGATTCAGAAACCGTTTCGATTCTTATTTCATTATTCCGATCACTTCCCCTTTTTGAGGAAGCATCCGCCATATATTCCTCAAACCAAGCCTTTAAGTCATCAATCTCTTGAAAGGTGGCGTTAAACTGTTGTTCCATTTGAGTGAACACATAATTGTTTGTTGGAATCTCTGGGTTGAAGAGTTGTTGATAAATCTCCTTGGTGAGATGGAGGATTTCATCAACACTCTGTTTTATGGTTAATCATCTCAGCTCTTTAATTGTTTCTTGAAGAACCGAGAACCCTAATTCATAAGCAATATGCGTTTCCTCAATGAGTTGCTTGGAGTTTCCTTCTTAAGTCTGCATGGTTTTTTGAAGTTCGATTTTGAGCTCTTTTACTCCTTTGATGAGATCTTATGCCTTGGATAAAAATTCCTTGTGATCAGATGTTTGTTGATTATCGAGTTTTCTGATACCCATTTTGATGCGTAGAAGAACCCTCTCTGCAGTGAGTTTCTCCCTTGTTTCCAAGATTTCAATGCGATCAAGAATAGATTGTTTTGTGGGGGTATCAGTAGTTTGTAGTGTGGCAGAAGAGACTGCGGCCAGAATCTGGTTGACTTTAGATTGTAGGTCGAGAAATTGCTTCCTTGATACAACTAGCTTTTTTTTTCTTATTATGTTTAGGCTAAGAAGTGGAAAGTTGGGAACCACTTGACTCTATGAAGTCATCAGAAGGGAGAGACTGTTGGACTTCATCGTTGTTGTCATCAAAACCAAAAGTGGGAGCAGAACTGATCTCAGTGGCCGTGCAATCTTCATTTGCATCATGGGCCTCGTTGTTTGGGGGAGGCTTTGAAGTACCAACAACATTCTCCATTTCCTAAACCTTTTGTATGGTGGTTTCCTTTTCTGACAACCATTGCTGAATTAAAAGGATGTCATGCACCGTCTTTGCATTGTTGAACATAGTGGCCCAATACTTAGCCACTTGGAGAAGGTATTCTTCTTTCTGCTGCTGTTGTTGTACTTGTTGATCTTTCCTTGCCTGAAGAGCCCTTTTGAAGGCTTCAAATTTCATCAGCCCAGATTCTATTGTTGGGCGGTAATGAGACCATGAGTCATCTGATGCATATCCGTCAAATCCTTGTCGCACCGAGGTGTCCCTTGGGTTCATGGATCCTTGCACATTTATGCTAACCATGCCTAAACCGCTTGTTTGTAATGTTGGCGAAATAGGATTTCCAGAGCTTCCTCGGTCTCCTTGGTCTAAAACCAAGTCTGGCATCGGTTTTATTCTAGCTAGGGCCTCTAAAAAAGGACCCTGCTGTGAAACACGTCATATTGCCAATAGAACATGTAGATGCAGTTATACTGTACTAAAACTTGAAACTTGACCTAAACATAATTAAGAAACAGAGCATCGTGCAAAGTAGTTATAACAAGAGATAGAATAAGTAATCATCGGTTTTTGAGCAAACCCAAACCGGAAAATATTTCTGCAGCTTGAATTATGGGAGGGCACAGAAGATGGCGGAAGAGTTAACACAGCGGAGAGAGAAGGGTTCCAAATGTGAACAAAATGATCCTAACATGTTCCTTTATAAAAGCATATTAAGCCATTCACGGATCCAATGACATCGCCATGAGTATAATTAGATTGGGAATGAACCAGGAGTTTAATGAAATTAGTGAGTTCAAGATGAGGAGAATGAGAGGGGTGTGCAGCGAATGGACAACAGTCAAAAGAAAATCGACAGTCAAAGAACATAAGAATCTTCTCGTTCTTATGGATTGAACGATGGAGGTGAGATTTTACAAATGAGGATTCAGATAAGAGAGCATCCCAAGATTTACAAATGCACATCATTTGAGCAAGCTATATAGCCAATAACTTGATGAATATCTCTAATAGAACATCGCTTGGGAGGTTCTCTATATTCGTTCGGTGTCGTGGTGAAGCCATTTTTGAATGTTAAAGTAAACTTCCTGTTCGGATGAAACTTTATGAGCTTCTGTTGGAGAAATGAGGTGGTTAGAAATAGAACTGGTCCTCTTAACAAGTTACAAACACAAAAGGATTAAAACATTTTAACTTAAATATGTAAATTTTCAACAAAGTGACAAACCCATAGTAAAGTTGACACACCATTAACTTAAACATATGAATCTTTAACAGACTCTAAATTAAACCCAAACAATTAGCTATGTACGCAAAAATAAACTTGGTAATTGAATATTGTGATTGTTTTGCATTAGATAACGAGTACAAAACATATTTCCACTCTACACCCTCAACATATATTTACATCTAATATTCCCCTCAAGCTAAGGCCGAGTAGCGACCTATAGCTTGTTATGTACGGAATGAAATCGCTGAGGATAGAGGTTTTGTAAATCTAAGAAAAAGAAAGTCAAACATAACAACTTTTCTAGATTGTAAAGAGGGTTTTTGTTTCAGCCAAGGTGGTTCGACACCATTTGACTTTAGTTAACTTGTTTGAGGTATTAATTACTTAATTTAGTATATTTAGGACTTATTATGCAACATGTCAAGGAATTCTTTTTCATTGCTAGCTCTTCATTTTTACATGATAAGCATCATCGGCTAGCTCTTCTAATTGCATTGTGTGCATAGTCATCCATTACATGCCATGCATCTGTTTAGCCCACAAAGAAAATAAGTACGCTATTGCTAGGTATGTTTCTGTAGCATCCAAGGTATGCTATAGCACAAGGCATGACCATTCAAACATATTTTGAGTAGGCCACTAGATTTAAGCCCAAAACAAATGAAACGGAAACAAGATTCCTTGAATAGCAATAAGGCTAGACATTTATTCAATGCTTATACAAAAAAAAAAAAAAAAAAAAAAAAAAAAAAAAAAAAAAAAAAAAAAAAAAACACACACACACAAATACCACTAATATAAATTAAAAACAAACCAACATGTCCAAAAGTTAAACACAGCATGCTCACAAGCAAGAGTGTTAGATGTAATGCACTTAAAAAAATATAGTTGACAGAAAATACAGAAGAAGTGGAGCTGACGCATTGCCTTTTGTAGCCCTTTTAAGAGCTGATGCGTCTTCGAAATAGAAATTGAGAGATGCCCTTTGTTGCCTTTTGAAGCTCTTTTAACAGCCAATGACTATTCAAAAAAGAAATCAAGACATGCCATTTTGACAGCTCATGCTTAGCAGGTGCTACCCAAACAAGACTGTCAACATACTCCACGATCTTAGTTATGAATTGTCCATCACCCTTAATCTTGAAGATTTTACTCCGGGCTGCAACTGGATCATACAAACAGAAACAACCACCACCATAAAAAATAAACTCATTCTGTGATGTGAATCCATACAGACGCGTATCACCACTAAACTGTGAAAACTCATGATGTTTAACCCATGATTCAGCCACCCCATACTCATTCATCCCCCACACCTCACATTTACCATCTCTAACACTTGACATCAAACAAAATTTTCCACCCAAAACTCCCAACACACTGAAGCAGTGTCCATGGTGATGTAGTAAAGAATCTGGAGGTGGAGGTATCTCACTGAATGTCTCTGCACCCAAATCAAATGCCAATATCGTTTCTGGCTTCCACTCCAAACCAGTAGAACCAAACCAATGCAGATGGCCATTATGACCATCTACACAAACATCATCATGATCCATAATCATTGTGATGTGTGAAGGAAAGGTTTGAGATATCAACTCCCAGGAACCCTTTCTCATGCTATAAACCTCAACTTGGGGTTCTATTCTGCGTGGGTTACAAAGGCATGTAATCTTAACAACTTTGTAATCATCGGTTTTTGGATCATACCCAAATCGGAAATGGATTTTACTTGAATTACAGGAGCTAATTAAACATGGCGGGAGAGTTAATGCAGCTGAGAGAGAAGGGTTCCATATGTGAACAACATAACCACCATCATACAAGTTGTAACTAAAGCATATTAATCCGTTCACAGATCCAATGACATTGCGGTATTTAAAACTATTTTTAGATTGGAAATTGACCGGAAATTTTATGAAATTAGTTGGTTTGATATCGAGGGAATGAACGGGGCGTGCTATGAATGGATTATAATCTAAAAAATGTCCCCATTTGAAGAGTAAGAAAATATCATCGTTGTTTTGGATAGAATGATGGAGGTGGGATTTTACAAAGGAGGATTTAGATAAGAGAGAATTCCAATCTTTACAAATGCACCTCATTTGAGCAAGTTGTTTTGCCAATAACCTGATGAATATGTTTGATAGAACATCGTCTGGTAGGTTGTCCATATAGCCGTTGTCTTAAAGGTATATATTAGGGGATTTAAAACTAAGGAGCTGCAAGGTAAGACACGAATCGGTAAGAAAAGGACAAGTTAGAAGACGACTGATCCCACAGATAAAAACACAAAATGGTTAACACATCATAACTTAACATATACCGATTTTCAACAAACCAACAATAATTTAAGTGCTTTTGACATTAATTATTTTATTTTTGTTGCTGGTATAAACACTGATGCCTGTCAATCCCCAAATTAAGTGCTTTTGACATCAATAATTTCTTCGATTAACATCGGTTCATGAGTTAGAATTTTGGATTTTCACAACGAAAGTTGGATTTTAAGGAAAATATTAGGATGTTTTTGGTAAATTGTGCAAAAAAGGGGTGTCTGCGTAAATGTATTTGCTTTTGCTTTCTTTATCATTTGATTGTTGAAAGGGAAACCAAACAAAATAAACACCGGAAATACCAGAGACAATGAGACATTGAAAGAGTAAGACTGAGAGATTCAGAAACACTTACAGCGACAAGCGGTGACAGAAACACTCTGTCAGATCACCGGTGCAGAGCGGCGGCCAGTGCCGAAATACCGTCAGACCAGTAGCCGGTGGTGGACAGCAAACTCGGGGAGTGAGTGAGAGAGCTGAAGGAGTGGGAAGCAGGCAGCCTTTGGAAAGTGAAAGTAAAGTGCTCGTTCTAAGAAATAGAGGTGCACAGACATGGACCGGGTTTTTTTCTCATCGGGCTTTGTCCGGTTAAGATGGGGTGGGCTTTTCATGACCGATTCGGATTGGATGCGGATTTTTTTTTCTGCAATATTTTATTAAAAGGGTTGTTAGTTTAAAGTTAAGAGTAAATTACACGAGTGGTATGGTTTAGGATAATTTATGCCTTTGGTTTTTAATTTATTTTTTAAACTAAGAAGGTTCATACTATTTGTTTTTATTACGCTGTTTTGTCCATATCTCACCTAAAAAGATTATTTGGCCTTGATTTTTTTAACTTATTTAAATAAACACACCTTCAACCCCACTCCTTCACCTGATTTTACCTACATTATCATTTTTTCTATTTATATAATAGTCTTTTTAGGTAAGATAGGGACCAAGTACGTAACAAAAACAAAAAGTAGGGACCAAACGTGTAACGAAAACAAACAGTAGAGACCTTCCGAGTTAAAAAAATAAATTAGGGACCAAACGCGTAAATTATCTCAAACTATAGAGACCATTTGTGTAATTTACTCTAAAGTTAACAAAATACTTTCACAATGCACTTTAGTATACTATGTTTTGGAACTTGAAATCACTTGTTTTTGTTCTTGGGCACACTAAAACCCAAAAGCTTAAGCTTTAAAAATGGTATGTATTATATGATTAGACAAAATTGTAAAAATGATCTTTTGAGTTATGGTCAAAAACTTTAATTTTTTTTAGGTTGGTTGTCTTTTTGATATGTTTGTATGTGGATTTGATCAATTTCCAAATTGAAATGACAAAATTAGCTTTATTATATTTATTTTTTATTTTTATTTCTTTTTTATAAATAATTATATATATTTAAATAAAATGGTCTCTCTCTCAACACCGCCGCCAAATTCTGCTACAAATTAAACATATCTAGTTTCGACTAAAAACAATTGAAACTTCTGTTACAATGAAAGCAGCATCATCATGCACAAAGTCGATATGACGTTCCTTTTTCTCTGTGATACAACACACACAATGATGAATCATATGAAGATCTAGGTTCAAATTCGAGTACGACAAACTCATAAACACTCCAAAATAAACATACACAGATCCTAAAAATCATTCAACTTTATCGTTATCACTTACTTTCTTCTTTCTTCTTCCAATCGCAACCCTAGCCGCCACCATTGACCAGAACCACCACCACTACTCAAGCCACATGAACCAAAAGAACAGGAGTTGTAAGTTTCCTTGGATTCATCATCTAGTACCCACACACTTAAAGAAGATCGGGTCATCACTGCCATAATATCCGGCGAAGGCAATCGTGGTTGGAGGTGGCCTAAATGACGGCATAACTAATCCAAGGCCAGGAACCATTGTCTACCTAAATGGCTCTATTTCCCCGCCTTCCTTTCAGTCAAGCATGATCTTGAACACAACCAACAACTTCGATACACTCTGTTTCATTACGTCTCTCTTTGATGGTTCCCCTCTCTTTGTCATCTTTTGGTTGTGGTGTTTCCTATCTTTCTGTCATCTTCGACCAACAACCAACCTTTCCTCCTCATCTGACTCGTCTTGTCGGTGACCCATGAGAGAAATTTCAAACCCAAAAAAAACCCACATACAAAATCATTACTAGCGATTCAAACCCCAATAATCATTCAACCAACCATCTCGCATCCCTTATATTCCACTTCCCCTTAACTTTGGAACCGATAAGAATGAATCAATGTGGGTGGGGAACTCGCACCTGAGGAATCATCAGAGAGGGAGGCGTAGTCGAAGTGACTGCCTGGCCGATATTAAAACCGTTTGGACGTTCGTTTGCTAGAGCGTGTGTTAAGGGGTGTGATTTGTGAGGATGAAGATCGAAGGAAGAAGGATGAAGCTGGGAATGATGGTAACAATCTTAACTAGATTTGGTAATGGGGGTGGTGGTGGGCCCCTCTTTTATTTTAGGGGTTTTTTTAAATGAACAATAGAAATTAAATTAAAAAAGAAATTACATACGGGCAAGTTAGTAATTTCAGTTTTAGAATGAACCATAACAAAAGTTGCTCGCTAACCCAAAACTTTAAGGGTTTGGATGCTTTTCTTGAAAAAATACATACTATAAGGACCATTTTTGCAGTTTTATCTTGTGATTATAACTAACTTCCTATATTAAGAAAACCTTGTCTTTTTGGAAGAAAATACTAAACATTGAAAACCCATTTCTTAGCTTACTGAATATTTTGGTTACCTTCCTAATGTAAATAAGTTTAATTGGTTAGTTGTTGCTTTCAGCTTTACCATCTGTGTGTGTAATCTGAGTAACTTTAATTAATTTCTTACCTGTAACATCCGGAATTGCAGGAGTGGGAAAGTCCAAGCTAGATCGATTTTGGAGCTTGGATCTATGTTATTCATACTGAGATTTGTTTCTGGAGGTACAAATTCTTTCCCACTTCGTGTATTTGATAGATTGCTTGAATATAGGGTTTCTTTGCATCATTTTGAGTTGGATTATGAAGCATGTGATGTCCCAAGGTGGTGTAGATGTTGGATCTGGACCAAGAGAGGTCAAAAAAGTCCCATCCTTCCAGCTTTATGCTGTTTCATGAGAGTTTTGAGAGTAGGTTGCCATTTTGAAGGTTATTTCTCCATTTATGGCTTTGTGTGTGTTGCATGAACGTAAAGTTTGAACCTTTACGCGACTTTTGAGTGCTAGAAGGTTAGATCTATTAGTTAGAGAAGCATATCTGACCTCAGAAGGTCGTTTGAGTGTTGCCATGGAAGGAACTCGTCGAGTCCATAAGGGGACTCGACGAGTCAAGTCGGGTTGCCCCGCGATTCATGACAAGTGGTAACCCATCGAGTGGAAGGTTCACTTGACGAGTCGAGTGAGGTTTAGAAAGATCCAGAGGACACGCTTGGACTCGCCGAGTCACCTATGTGCACTCGACGAGTCTTGTCAAAGTTTGACCGTTGACTTTCGTTGACTTTTAGGGTTGGGTCAACACTTGGACTTTTGGACCATTAGAAGGGTAAAATGGTCTTTTAGGCTTCTGAGAGAACATTGGAACGGACTAAAACTAAGGAGCTGCAAGGTAAGACACGAATTGGTAAGAAAAGGACAAGTTAGGCCCCGTTTGATAGTTGCTGATTGAGAAAGTGCTGACTGAGAAAGGTCTGTCTGAGTAAGAAATTCTAACTGAGTAAGAAATCATGTTGTTTGATTGAAAATCTGACCGAATGTGCTGACTGGTGTAAAATGACCATTTTACCCTGATGCTATACACGTTTCTATGCAATATAATAATAATAATAATAATAATAATAATAATAATAATAATAATAATAATAATAATAATAATAATAGACATTAATAATAATAATAATAATAATAATAATAGTAATAATAATAATAATTTATACAAAAACCTCCACCATAATAGACATTAAATATATTATTTTAAAGATAAAACACAAAAAAACCTTTTAGCTTGCTGGTAAACACCATTGCTTCTACAAGGGAGACCCAAGTTCTATTCTTATAACCTTCATTAGTTGTGAATTTTTATCCAAGCCAAGGGTACTATTGGAAAGCCTTGTTTTCTTTCTAACTCCCAACTTCTTTCTCGGTCAGACATTGCTTTCCGAGTCAGAAGACAAGATTTTATCTATCAAACACCTTTTGTCTGACCGAGTCAGCAAAAATGTCTGACCTGACTCAGTCAGATGCCATATCAAATAGGGCCTTAGAATACGACTGATCCCACTTAAAGAGATAAAAACACAAAAAGGTTAACACATCATAACTTAACATATACCGGTTTTCAACAAACCAACAGTAACTGAAGTGCTTTTGACATCAATTATTTTATTTTATTTTATTTTTGTTGTTGGTATAAACACTGATGCATGTCAATCCCCAAATTAAGTGCTTTTGACATCAATAATTTATTCGATTAACATTGGTTCATGAATTAGAATTTTGGATTTTCACAACGAAAGTTGGATTTTAAGGACAATATTAGGATGTTTTTGGTAAATTGTGCAAAAAGGGGTGTGTGAATAAATGTATTTGCTTTTGCTTTCTTTATCGTTTGATTGTTGAAAGGGAAACCAAACAAAATAAACGCCGGAAATACCAGAGATAATGAGACATTGAAAGAGTAAGACTGAGAGATTCAGAAACACTTACAGCGACAAGCGGTGACAGAAATACTCTGTCAGATCTCCGGTGCAGAGCGGCGGCCAGTGGTGAAATACCGTGAGACCAGTAGCCGGTGGTGTACAACAAACTCGGGGAGTGAGTGAGAGAGCTAAAGGAGTGGGAAGCAGGCAGCCTTTGGAAAGTGAAAGTAAAGTGTCCGTTCTAAGAAATAGAGGTGCACAGACATGGACCGAGTTTTTTTCTCATCGGGCTTTGTCTGGTTAAGATGGGGTGGGCTTTTCATGACCGATTTGGAGTGGATGCGGGTTTTTTTTCTTGCAATATTTTATTAAAAGGGTTGTTAGTTGACAAAATTGCAAAAATGGTCCCTTTGATTTGTTAATTTATGTGGGTAAGGTCCAAAAAAAAAAGTTTATTAGCAAAAAAAGTCAATATTTGATGGTTTTGTTGCAGTTTTGGTTCCAACCTCGTTAAGTTTAACAACATGGCTGTTAACTTTTGGCAAATGACGATTTACCCCTGAGACCATTTCTGCTGTTTTATCTTTTTACCAAACTACAAGGACTAATTATGTAATTTTTCTTTTTCATTTATTGAATTATGATACATGAATTATTTTAATTACTTTTTTCATTTTAATTTTTTTTATTGTATTATTTTATTATTGGATTATTATATTCATTTAATAATTTAATAATTTTTTATTTCGATAATTCATTTGATTATATCGTTATATATTAATAAATATTATTTTTAATAAATTATATTTATATAAATAAATATTACGTTTTTATTATTAATTTTTTTAATTGATTTTTTTAATTTCTTCTTTATTGCATTAATTCTTTTTTATGAAATTATTATATATTAACAAATATTATTTTTAGCGTATAATATTTATCTATTAGGATGTGTTACTTTATTGGATTATTAGTTTTATTTAATTAATTTTATTTAATTTTTTTATTGCATTAGTTCTTTTTATTGGATTGTTAATTTAAATGTATTATTTTTATTTATAATAAATAATATTCTTTAATTATTTTTTAATTGTTTTTATGTTTAGCATATAATATTTAAACTTATGATTTTGACATATAAAATTTCCCTAAAAATATTTCTACATGAATTACCAAATCTAAGTATTCGCTACTCGGCGGTCGGCCGAACGAGTACTGAATAACAAGTTCTACAACTTTTTCACCACCTGTAGTGGCTATGGTGGTTTGAAAACCCTCGATCTAACATTGTCGTCATCGATGGTGGTATCTGTAATGAATGGTCGGCTGGAGGAAGTATACTTTCTGGGGTTTATTTCACATTGTGTGGATAGTCAACTGGTGTAGTTCTCGTCGAGAATGGCCAACTGTAGTCGATGATCGATGATTTCCAACAAAATGATACGACGAAGCAAGGTGGTAAAATGCAACGAATGGAGGAGCTGACCCAGAGTGTTTGGTATTTTTATTTAAAACAATAAAGAAAAGGTACAAAATACATAACAAGTTGGGGTGCTACAAAATACATAACAAGAAAAGGTAAAAAAAATGATGGGAACTAACATGCAACAAATGAAAAGAACTTCATATACCGATAATGGTGTACATTAATGTTCAATAAATAAATAAAAAAACAAGGAACTCTCACTTGCTTATTTCACATGTCACTTTCCTTCACTAAATCTTCTTCTTTTGCTCCTAATGGATAAGAAAAGTCTTCATTAGCCTACACTTTGGGTAGCTCTCTCCCTGACTTCCTTGAGCACTTTGGTAAGGGGTTGCATGTATCAAAAATAGTTAGAAAAATAAAATAAAATAAAACAAAGAAGAAACATCTTATCCAAATCAACAATGAAAAATTCCATATGTTGTGACTAAAAATTGGTCAATAACTGCAATACCTGTACTCCAGCTTCCGTTGGACCTATACAAATACAAATACTAAAAGAAGGACAAGTCTTGAAGGGCAATATAAATTATTAAAAAAAACACATAACAAGATTAGGGATAGATTAAAGAATTAAAATAAATTCTATATATAAATGTCGTTTACTGTCTTGATACAAGAAAAATAAATAACCCGTGTCTAAAGCCTAACGCATGGGTAACACAACAGCAAAAAAGAAAGAAAACCCAATACTCA